GATTAGAATTGCCAGGCCCCTGGTCTGGGCGGGGTTTCCCCGATTTTTGGGGCTATTCCTGGAGGGGGCATGACATCCCCAATTCCATGACATCATGTTGGGGACATCCCTGCCCCAAGAACGGCCACCCACAGCCACTCCCCTCCCTCCTATTCTGAGAGATTTAAAGGGCCCTCCAGCTGATTGGAGGAGCACATGGCCCGTCAATCAGTTGGAGGGTCCTTTAAATCTTGCAGGAGGGGGTGGCCGCACGTCTGAAATTAAGGTGTGCAAAACCCCTGCTGGCCAGGAGTATTTAAAAGGACCCTTTAAATGCTTTTGTCCAGCAGGGGCCGGGCCTCGCAGGCCTGTATTCCAAGCAGCATTGCTGCTTGGAGTTCAGGCATGTGGCCAATGGCCACCCCTCTCCCTCCCCTCCTGCAAGATTTAAACACCCCTCCAGCTGATTGGCAGGCCCTTTAAATCTCAAAGGAGAAGGGGGGCCATGGGTGGTCATTGTTGGGGACAGGGATGTCTCCAACGTGACGTCATCACTTTGGGGATGCCCCACTCCCTCTAGGAACACCCCCAAAAGTCTCCTACTGGTAGATGAGGCCAGACTTGGCAACCCTAATGAGAACTGCCAACATCCAGGTAGGGGCTGGAGATCTCCCAGAATTCCAACTGATCTCCAGTTGATAGAGACCAGTTCCCCTGGAGAAAATGGCTGCTTTGGAGCATAGACTCTATGCTGAGGTCACTTCCCTCCCCAAACCTCAGCTTCCAAGTAGAACTGACTGCACATGTAAACATGCCAAACTATTCTACATAATAATCCAGCCAAATCTGATCCAGTCAAATCTGAACACTTTTCAATCATACTCATTTCAGTTGCAAAACATAGATGGACTCAGGATAGATAGGCTCAGAGAAATACAAAGACAAGGAAGTAAATTTACGATTTACTTCAATATACATTTGAAAAGCAACAGACAGCATACTGAGACACATAAGCCCTATGCAGATATTAAAAGAAACACCCACCTTATGCAGGTAGTGGGAGAGAAGGGGCAGGGACACAGTGGTAGAGCATCTGCTTGGCATGCAGAAGGTCCCAAGTTCAATGCCTGGCATCTCCACTTAAAAGGATCAGGTAGTAGGCAATGTAAAAAACCTCTGCTTGAGACCCTGGAAAACCACTGCCAATCTGAGTAGATAATACTGACCCTGATGGACCAAGGCTCTGATTCAGTATAACACAGATTCATGTCTCTTTATGAGTCAGATCACATTGGCCCTGTCCACATGTTCACCACACACAGCAGCAGCCTGTGGGCTAAATATGCAGATATCAAGGAGTGTAGAAGGCTGCTGTGGTCTCATTCACCATGTAGTGGCTTTTTTCATGTTTTATGGTAGGCCCAAACCTTTGGAATGGATCACTGTCTGCCTGTATAAAGGTGCGCAGGGGTCGTTTCATAGAAAAAGAGCTAGGGGAACTCATTAGCATAACTCATTAGCATATACCACACCCCCTGACATCACCGGAAGTGTGTCATAAGGCCACACACCCCGCCCCCAACGGTCCTGGCCGCCACCGCCGACCTTGCAGCTCCACTGCCAAGCCCCATGAGGGGCCCGGCGGTGGACCTGCAAGGCCGGTGGGAGTGCAAGGAAGCCCCGCGAAGACCCTCCCTGGCCCCAGGCAGGCAGGGGTGGGGAGAGGCAGGGAGGAAG